AAATGTGACAATGTAGCGAGCTGCTAGGCCCATTTCTTAGAATTTCATCTCCCCCGGGCCGGGAAAGTACTTAATTCCTTTCGTAATCCTCGCTTCCGTGGGGTCAGGTAGCCCGAGTCGCCCAGAATCGCCAAACTTGGAGCTCAGTCGCCAAAAATCGCCAGGCCAAAATACGAATCGCCAAAAAAATCGCCTGGCGCCAGGCCGTCTTTTCAAGTCGCCAAACCGGACCTAAAATCGCCAATTTGGCGACAAATCGCCAAACCTGGCAGCTCTGCTTTTTAACGCAGAAAACAAACAAGCTGATCGTGGTGTGTAATCGTCTACAAACACAATGCTCTCGCACGCCGCGCACTCTGTTGGCCGGAGCGCGCACTGCTCGGCAGGGGGGCTAGACGCTAGGCTAGGCCAGCCGAGGGGTGGCTAGACCCGTGGCGCGTCCTAGCGGCTGACCGACGAACGAGGGTCGCACCTAGTCCTGGCATTACCCCTTGCCTACTCCACCGTCATCTAGCTTGAACATTTTGAGGACGACCTCAATAGAAATGAGACCTACCGTGAATGCAACGAGGGCCATGAGACGGTCTCGGGTTTCGCCGGCAGTAGAGCTGGTGAGCGGTGAGCGGTCGGGTCTCGTCGGCGCGTGGAGAAAGGCGAAGAGGAGCGCCCGCGAATCTGAGGGTAGGCAACACGCAGAATCTCGGAGCCGCCTCGACCGCTCTCTTCCCCTTCTCCGCCCCCTCCCCCCCACCCCTTCTCACTCCTGGCGGCTGGCGGCACCGTCGCGGCCACACGGAGCGCCTCGCAGAGAGGCAATAGGCAGCCGGCATGACAGTGCAGAAATGCGGCTGCCTATGCTTGGGCGATTTGCATACCGACCGGGAAAGGGGATGCCAGGGAAAGCCATTCACAACATTTCAACAAGCTGTTAAACTTTAATTCAGAACAGGGGCTACTAACAATTATTGCCAGAGATCTTAAGCACTGGATTAAAATAACAATAATTATTAGTATATAAATATTGAATGAGTTGGGAAAATAGTAAGATTGAACTGGTATTAAAGAGCTTATGGCATTGAATCAAGGTTTGCTTATGTCAATATCTCAACCAAACTTCTTCTAAATCCTTCTCAGGATAAATGTTAATATTAAGATTACGAATCACAAATATTGATGATAACTTTTCCTGACGATTTTCGAGCTCTCATGTACTCCATCGCCTCGTTTACCTTGTCTAGATCAAAATCCTGTGATATGTGGGGGCTGATTAAGCCTTGCTCACACATGTCCAGGACATCTTGAACTGTGTCTCTGCAAAGAGACGAAAGAGAGCACAAGGGAGAAAATAAATTAAATTTTAGGCTTATATTTTTACCTTTAAATTCACAAAGAACACAAAAATTAGTAGAAGTAAATACCTGTAAACTTCTGGGTCATTTAATCGATAGTATGATAGAGAGACACCTAGAATACTGTAGGATCCCTGTAGAAGTTCACTAAGTAGTAATTGCGGTACCTGGCGTGAAGCAAATCCTGCCACAATCACAGTACCTTCATGTGCAACTCTACAAAAAATATCCACACACACATATTTATTTCTAATGTATGTAGAAAAACAAGTAAGAATTTTAATTAAAACATTAAATAATTTACATGGTTAGATACTCACGTCTTTAGGGAGGCTGTAAATACGTCTCCGCCTACGGCATCAAAAACAACTTTCATTCCTTTTCCTTTACTGACATCTTTCACTGTCACTTCCAAATCATGTGGGTTAAATACTAAGGCCGCCCAAGCTCCTTTTTCACGGACTAACGAAGACTTGTCCGAAGTACTGCAAACTCCAACCACCTGATCAGACAGAGAAGGAAAAGTATATAAAATTTAAAATATCGAAAGCATTAAATTTTACATGCAACTGTGTTACATGCCATACTACCTTAGCTCTGTAAACATGAGATGCAATATCAACTGCCGCAAGTCCTAATCCACCAGCTGCTGCAGTAATTAAAACAGAGTCACCCTCCTTCAGGTGGGCCCTCCGAGCTAAACCAATGAGTGCTGTGGCATAACTATCTGCCAGAGAGACACACTTTTTGTAACTAACTGAGGATGGTGCCAGCCATGCATCCTAAAATTCAAATAAGACATGTAAAGGAGAGTTGTATAGCATATATTCGAGAGAACATTACAGCAATACTGCAGAAAAGAATTATAACTTACTTTCATGGATATAACACACTGCTCTGCAAAGCCTCCATGCTTGTCTTTGTTAAGACCTACAATACGGTCACCTACATTAAAACCTTCAGCAGCTGCATCACTGCCGGATTCAAGAATCTCTCCAGCGATTTCAAATCCTGGGGTGAATGGAAGTTTCGGACTTAATTCATGCTCACCATCACATATCATAATATCACTGGCATTAACAGCACAATTCACCACTTTCACTCTTATCTGAGAAAAAATGGAAAAGTATTAAGAAGTTAAAAAGACATCAAAGCAAGAAACTAGACAGTTGATGTGAGTGTGGGTACCAATCATAACTAAGTACTTACTTCATCTTTCTTTATCTTTTTCGGTGCAGTTATAGTTTCTATTTCTAAAGGTTTGTGAAACTCCTTTAGAACAGCTGCCTTAAAGGTACTGGCACTCCTGATATTTCCATATAACAACCCTCCAAGAGAACCTAACCTTGATGGAACCTCACTACCTATCACTGTCTTCCTCAGAATCGAGCAGACCTGCTTTGACAACGGAACAGCCATGGTAAGAAGTTACAGAAATATTCATGAGAGAGATGCCTCTTCTCTAAGAAAGTGCCACAATTTAATGGCAAAAAAAAAAGAAACACTCCAACAGGAGCCGAAGCAGACGAGCAAACCATATAAACAAATTAAACTGCAATGGCAATGGCAATAGCAAAGTAAAGTCATAATAACATTGACAGAGAGATACATATAGGCTACCAGCTGCGAGGCTATCTTGAGCAATCTTGAGGCACTATGAGGAATTCAAGTCCCTGTTTGTAGCTGCTCAGTTAACCGGACCGAGCCGATTTACGTAAACATTTGTGTCACGGAGCGGCCGACTGGGGGCTATTCTAGCTTCCCGGGCTGGGGCCGCGCACGAAGCCGGCAGTAGGGCATGTTTTGGTCGTGACTGTTACCTAGGCTGAATCGCGCTGCTTGTATGTGGTCTGGTGGCTCGGAAAGTTGCGTGCTCGACCGCTGCTGCACACTTCGGCTCTCCGTGTCAAAGGTTCGACTCTCGACTATTGGGGGTACATTTTTATTTTTTTTTACTTTTTACCTCAGGGGGAAAGAACTATAAGGGAATGTTCGGCCCATGAATATAAACTGCCTTGCAAAGCCAGGTCGCTGAGGGATAAATAGTTTTCGAGAAATAAAAGTTCTAATAATTTCGAACTACGACCCTACTTTGAAACGCTATAAAACTGGTTTCCCGGTGCGTTAGGTGATCGCCCACTTCAGGATCTGTTCAGTTTTACTCGATGAATTTACAGGCTAAATCGGGGCGCTGTAGCTCAAATACTTTCCGAGATAATGGCGATTTACATATTTTTTTTCGATATCGGCCTGCCGAAAT